AGCAAGTATTTTTCCTTTATTTTGTCCTACATGTATCATAAGCCTGGCTTGAAGGGATAACCTAAGAATGGACAGTGTTTGACGCTCATTGATCCATAGCTTGATCTTAACATCTAGCTGGTGCTTTTATAGTAGAAATAAAGAGAGAGATTGTATATCAAGCAGTGATATTGATGTTGAGATAAAAACCTAGTGTCAAGGCTGATAGTCATGTTATATAGATGCTATGACGCTGGTACAGAAAATATTTGGGCTGCTAAATGTTAAGGAGAAATATTAGAACACTACAGTATGTTTAAGTTAAAAGTAATGTTTTTTGCAGCACTTACGGCATCCCAAATTTTCTATAGAACCCTGTGTGCCAGGTAATAATTTAGTCAAGATGAATAGAATTTATTTTTAAAGAGGTCTTCTATTCATATGCCTGAAATATATAGCAGTGATTTTTTGAGTGACTTGCCTTGATAACTTCAGTCATTTGCTGGACTATGATAAGCATAAGCAGATCAGATAGTAGTGCTGCAGTTGTCTCCAAGGTTTTTCCTAGCAAGTAGTGTTTGATTTTGAAGACTTGCAGTGAAAGCATTAACCTCAAACACGGAACAGGATAAACTTAGTGTAGAAGACAAATTTGTTCTGTGAGTATTAAAAATGGGTATTGGTCTGGGAATGCTTATATGTGAAACTAGCGGCCTAAATATTTTGTATACCTGTTGGCCAAAACGGATGTATCATTGTAAAAAAAAATCCCAAATCGATGTTATTAATGTAGGCCTGAACTCTTGTTTGAGAAGATTGAGTGAGGTTTTGGCAGTCTGCTACTATGGCGTGGCAGTGAAGCAGCATTATTGTAATAGTCAAAAGCATTATAATAATTGCTTGGGGTGAGAGGTCAAGGACCAGAAAAGCTCCAGGAGAAGCTTTATTGCAGTGGCCTTTTTTCTCTCTCGATGTAATTTTAGTAGAGTTAGATCCTTTTCTGACTTTGAGTGAAAATAACACTAAGTTTTGCTTGTACTTTGGGCATTTTGTAAAGTTTGATTAAAAAAAATTGCTTTTGTATAAACCAGTGTTCTTGATGTTGCCATAAATCAAATTAATCAGCTGAACTCTACCTGTTGTGCTTAGAAGCTTTTTACTGTACTATATTTAATGAACTATTTCAGTACCTTAGAGATGACTGAATTGCAAGTGAGATCTTTATGACCTTTCCTGTTCTTGGTGATTGCTATAGAAAACTTGAGAAAAGGTTCTGATGTTGGAGATGAGGTTCAAAATAATTTCAGTGAGAGTGCTATCAAGCTGTCTTTGTGTAGGGTCTTATGTAACTGTGTTCCAAATGGGAAGTTAAGCACCGTAAACAGTAATATTCCTTGATGCTATAGCCTTTGGTTGTACACAAATACAGCAGATAGATTTCCTCTCTTTTCTGGAAAGTGTTTCTTATTGAAAGGAAGTGCTGGTGACAACTGGGATATCCAGGTCACTGTCAGTTCAAGTATTTCTCATTATTTTATAGTGCCTTTTTCTAGTTACTGATAGTTAAAAATATACTGTTTGTAACTTTGTAACAACAGGAATTTTTTGAAAATCAAATAAATAGATGCATTATTTATTTACTGTGTCAGACCTTTATTTTAAAAAGGGCTTCCACACATTCAGATCACTGACTCTTATTTTTTTTTTTTTTTGGCAAGCAGCAAAGCTGTTGAGATACAGCAATGACACTTTATTCTGTAGAGGTGGGATCTGAAGCAGATAAAATATTGACTTTGTGGCCTTGCATTTGATTTAAAAAGATGTACTGTTTTTCTTAACAAAATGATAATGTCTTCTATCTGCATTTGGCTGAAGGAATTCTTTAATATAGGAATTGTGTTCTGTCAAAAAGACAGGCAGAAATTGCAGGTGGGACTTCAGAAATTTGAATTTCTAAGAGATGTGAATCAGTTCTCTGGAGAACAATATAATCTCTTCAAGATGAGGGCCAGCTGAAAGACTTGGCATAAATAGTGGCCTCCAGGTGCTCTGGTAACAAGGGAAATAGAAACTCTGCCCAGGCTACACCACCTTATATGGGTCCCTGTGAGAGCACTGTGGGTGTTCCTCTGGCTGCCTTTTCCGGGACTAGGAAGAACCTTTAATTATTTTTTTATTTTTCTGTTTTGTCTTAAGCAGTTGTTTAGAGAAGATTTACATAGAAGATAATATGTTGCTGTGATTGTTTATCTGATTATAAACAGTGGGGAGCACATCCCTTACAGAGTTGAGACTGGGCAATTTGAATGTCTAGTGTAGGTCAGGCAGTTGATGGGGCTGGGACCCCTGGGGACAAGGAATGAGTGAGGACCCACGTTGTGTAGGATACTGCAGCGCAATTTCCAGAGGAGTTCTTATTGTGAGTTGTGGCCTCAATCGATTAAAATTTCTCTTTTAACTTCCTCTTTGTTGTAGCTAAATAAACTGCACTTTGATTCTTCCTGCAGCTTTCCTTTAATTCTGTAGTAGCCATGAAAATTAATAGCAGGTTTTTAGTTGTTCTAACTTCTTCTAAGGTTTACTTTGAAAATTAGAACAGGTCTGCTTAGGTCCTAGAACATCTGGAAGCTATCTGAACATGAAAGGTGATGTCAGTGAGACTATTTACTGAACACTTTTTTTGTGGCTTCTGAAGTGTTGTTTTCATATGACTGGTAATTATACTCTGTGTTATGATTGTATTTTGTCTTACTAAAAATAATGGGTTCCCTTATCAGGAAAGAAACTAGCTGAACAACTCTGTCTTTTTAACAAAATCATTACAAATCAACTGCTCTCCTGGTTTGCTGAGTACCCGGTAAAATTGAAGAAGCAAGAGAAAACCAGGCTTTTGTTTGTTGTTTATGATGGAGAAGTATTTGAAATGATGGTGTAGACTTGGAGTTACTTTTGGTGTTTGAATAAAGTGATGTGTGGAGAATGCCTTGGTGAGAAAACCACCTGTGTCAGCTTCTTGAATTGCAAAATAGGGAGAGGAGGGGGTTTGTAGTTTAAAACTGTCCCTGCAAGTGTATTTCCATCACCCATAATCGTAGTCGCTGTCCAGTACCAGCTCTGCGGCTGGGAGAGCAGCCCAGCCTACCTGTCAGGCAGCTGCTGCTCTGGGAAGATAGAGAGACAAATAATGAGAAAGCTGTAAGACCAAATGCAAATACTTTGGGCTAAGAAGGAGAGATGGGAGAATTGGTGAGAAGGGAAGTAAAAAGAGACATGCTATCTGGAAACAGAAAATGAAAGCATTGGAATCCCTGTTGTTTAATAAGAGGTTGCCAGACAGTTGGTGTGACTTCTGAGAAAGTACACTTGAGGATTTTTCCTCCTTTGTCTGGAGTGGAAGACATAAGCATAACTAATCATAAAGCTCATGCAGATGTGCTAGAGATGGGTGGGGCACCAGGCCCCAGTGGGGGATGTGAGGCTTCAGCAATCTTATTAGACTGCCTGACCTCATGTGTGTATGTGTTCTTTATAAATGCATGGAGCTTCATCTCTCCAGCTGTTGCACACATGTTTTAATAAGAATATTTGGTCAGTTTTTAGCTCTCTGCAGTGTAAGTTAGACACTGTATGAGTAAAACCATATTTCTTATTTGTACCCTGCATTCATTTATTGCTGTGTGTCATTAAGCACTCTCTAGTAATAGTAGAGTTCCAGTGATAAAATTGCATTTGTCTGCTCAATGGAAAATAGAGTCTACTAGCATTTGCAAACAAGTCTCTCTGTGACACTTCTTCAAAGATTAAATTCTGAGTTCAGTTGTGATAAATACCTTTTGACAGTCATTTGAAGTCAGTTAAAGATGTGAGAAAGAGTAAAGAAGGGGACAAGCAGTATTGGTTCACTTTGGGTTTGGATTTTTTTTTTGGTATTGATGTTGTAGGGTGAGTTTTTATGTTCCAGGGGTTTTATTTCTTTTTAATAGTTGTATTGATGCTCTGTATTAGCTAATAATTTATATTTAGCAGTTATGCAAAAGCTAAAAATCATGCAAAAAACCCCTAAGGAAGCTGGGGAGGAGTAAAAAGAAATTCGATTCATGCTTTTTATAATGTTTGCATAAGCGTGAAACAACACAGGCAAGCTGCTTTAGAGACCAAAGTTAAATATTCGGTTCATGTTGCACTTCTTGAATTGTATGTGGAGCACACCAAACTAATTTAAAACATTAACAGAGAAGTGGTATAAATTTTGAATGCGGATCCTCATTCAGTGTGTTGGGAGGCCTGTGAGTGCTCTCGATTAGCTCTGAGGGGCTGTGAATAGTTAATTATTCAGCACGGAGTTCTGAAGTTCAAAACTCTAAGCACTTTCAGCAACAGGTCAGTCATGTGAAGTCTCAGTACTCAGTCGTTTCTTGCAATGCTGCTCTGGACCTTGTTTGCTCTTCATTGTGAGTGACTTTAAACTTTGTTTTCCCAAGAAAAATGTGTGTTTCTAATTGTTGTATGCTAGATCCTTTGTTTTAATTCTGTCAGACAACTATAGAAGTTAATTTCTTTTGTTAGGTTTAAAGTAAACAAACTTTGGTACAGCTCCAGAATCTAAATGACAAGTGTATTTTTGGAAACTTTTGTATTATGTTTGAAATATATTAACTTTCTGTGAATGTGGCTCCATTCAAGCTTTTTAAAAGAATGCTTATAAGAAATTAGAAAGGTCTCGTGAGGTAATGCGTCTTCACTGTGGTTTGGTTTTGTTTCTAATGGTAAAATTCTTAATAATAGTATCTTTTCCATATAGTGGACATGAGAGTGTTGTAGGACACGAGAGTGCTGCCTTCAGAATTTACTGTAACATAAATATATTAAGAGATGTAGAGAGTTTTCCTTTTATGCTGTTTTGGATTTTTTTTTAAAGTGACACTTATTTAGTGATCGGTCTTTGCATTCAAGATTACACTGGCTAGTCACTAAGATGGGGAAAGGTATCAAGATAATTAAAATTGGAAATCAGCATGTGACTGAAATGTCAATAAATATTACAACACAGTAGAATTGGTTATACTGTTATTTTATTACTGTATAGAGGTAAATATTGTGGAGCTGGTAGGNTTTTTTTTTTTCTTTTTTTTTGTAGCAGTCATCTGAATATAGGCATGAGTAAGGGAACATCTGCAGATGGTTTGTTGTTTGGTGGAACCTTTCTGAGTAAACCCATAGAGATAATCTTCAAAGATCACTTTATTAATACTGTTATCACCCATAGCTTTACTACTGCCATGTCATTTTATTTATCAGTTGCACAATGAATTATTTTGTTGGCAGAGCTATATACCCAGTGCCTTATTTCTAGTGCCATCTTACTCTTATCTATTATTTTTAAAATACGGGTGTGATTTACAATATTGATATCCTTTCAGTCTTGGGAATCTGTATAGAGAAATGCACTGTAAAATACTCCAGTATTACAAAAGATTTACAAATTGGCTATGTTTGTTCCTCCACCTGGAAACTGAAATTAAAATGTGTTTCTGAACTATTTTTTCCTTGATACCTATTGAACCACCTGCTAGACACAATATCCTTACAATATGACCTCAGAGTCTTGCCCAAATAACGGAGAGGATGAGTTTAGAACCTGAAAGACCATAATTCTCTAAGGAGCGGGTACAGCAAGTATTTTTCCTTTATTTTGTCCTACATGTATCATAAGCCTGGCTTGAAGGGATAACCTAAGAATGGACAGTGTTTGACGCTCATTGATCCATAGCTTGATCTTAACATCTAGCTGGTGCTTTTATAGTAGAAATAAAGAGAGAGATTGTATATCAAGCAGTGATATTGATGTTGAGATAAAAACCTAGTGTCAAGGCTGATAGTCATGTTATATAGATGCTATGACGCTGGTACAGAAAATATTTGGGCTGCTAAATGTTAAGGAGAAATATTAGAACACTACAGTATGTTTAAGTTAAAAGTAATGTTTTTTGCAGCACTTACAGCATCCCAAATTTTCTATAGAACCCTGTGTGCCAGGTAATAATTTAGTCAAGATGAATAGAATTTATTTTTAAAGAGGTCTTCTATTCATATGCCTGAAATATATAGCAGTGATTTTTTGAGTGACTTGCCTTGATAACTTCAGTCATTTGCTGGACTATGATAAGCATAAGCAGATCAGATAGTAGTGCTGCAGTTGTCTCCAAGGTTTTTCCTAGCAAGTAGTGTTTGATTTTGAAGACTTGCAGTGAAACCATTAACCTCAAACACGGAACAGGATAAACTTAGTGTAGAAGACAAATTTGTTCTGTGAGTATTAAAAATGGGTATTGGTCTGGGAATGCTTATATGTGAAACTAGCGGCCTAAATATTTTGTATACCTGTTGGCCAAAACGGATGTATCATTGTAAAAAAAAATCCCAAATCGATGTTATTAATGTAGGCCTGAACTCTTGTTTGAGAAGATTGAGTGAGGTTTTGGCAGTCTGCTACTATGGCGTGGCAGTGAAGCAGCATTATTGTAATAGTCAAAAGCATTATAATAATTGCTTGGGGTGAGAGGTCAAGGACCAGAAAAGCTCCAGGAGAAGCTTTATTGCAGTGGCCTTTTTTCTCTCTCGATGTAATTTTAGTAGAGTTAGATCCTTTTCTGACTTTGAGTGAAAATAACACTAAGTTTTGCTTGTACTTTGGGCATTTTGTAAAGTTTGATTAAAAAAAATTGCTTTTGTATAAACCAGTGTTCTTGATGTTGCCATAAATCAAATTAATCAGCTGAACTCTACCTGTTGTGCTTAGAAGCTTTTTACTGTACTATATTTAATGAACTATTTCAGTACCTTAGAGATGACTGAATTGCAAGTGAGATCTTTATGACCTTTCCTGTTCTTGGTGATTGCTATAGAAAACTTGAGAAAAGGTTCTGATGTTGGAGATGAGGTTCAAAATAATTTCAGTGAGAGTGCTATCAAGCTGTCTTTGTGTAGGGTCTTATGTAACTGTGTTCCAAATGGGAAGTTAAGCACCGTAAACAGTAATATTCCTTGATGCTATAGCCTTTGGTTGTACACAAATACAGCAGATAGATTTCCTCTCTTTTCTGGAAAGTGTTTCTTATTGAAAGGAAGTGCTGGTGACAACTGGGATATCCAGGTCACTGTCAGTTCAAGTATTTCTCATTATTTTATAGTGCCTTTTTCTAGTTACTGATAGTTAAAAATATACTGTTTGTAACTTTGTAACAACAGGAATTTTTTGAAAATCAAATAAATAGATGCATTATTTATTTACTGTGTCAGACCTTTATTTTAAAAAGGGCTTCCACACATTCAGATCACTGACTCTTATTTTTTTTTTTTTTTGGCAAGCAGCAAAGCTGTTGAGATACAGCAATGACACTTTATTCTGTAGAGGTGGGATCTGAAGCAGATAAAATATTGACTTTGTGGCCTTGCATTTGATTTAAAAAGATGTACTGTTTTTCTTAACAAAATGATAATGTCTTCTATCTGCATTTGGCTGAAGGAATTCTTTAATATAGGAATTGTGTTCTGTCAAAAAGACAGGCAGAAATTGCAGGTGGGACTTCAGAAATTTGAATTTCTAAGAGATGTGAATCAGTTCTCTGGAGAACAATATAATCTCTTCAAGATGAGGGCCAGCTGAAAGACTTGGCATAAATAGTGGCCTCCAGGTGCTCTGGTAACAAGGGAAATAGAAACTCTGCCCAGGCTACACCACCTTATATGGGTCCCTGTGAGAGCACTGTGGGTGTTCCTCTGGCTGCCTTTTCCGGGACTAGGAAGAACCTTTAATTATTTTTTTATTTTTCTGTTTTGTCTTAAGCAGTTGTTTAGAGAAGATTTACATAGAAGATAATATGTTGCTGTGATTGTTTATCTGATTATAAACAGTGGGGAACACATCCCTTACAGAGTTGAGACTGGGCAATTTGAATGTCTAGTGTAGGTCAGGCAGTTGATGGGGCTGGGACCCCTGGGGACAAGGAATGAGTGAGGACCCACGTTGTGTAGGATACTGCAGCGCAATTTCCAGAGGAGTTCTTATTGTGAGTTGTGGCCTCAATCGATTAAAATTTCTCTTTTAACTTCCTCTTTGTTGTAGCTAAATAAACTGCACTTTGATTCTTCCTGCAGCTTTCCTTTAATTCTGTAGTAGCCATGAAAATTAATAGCAGGTTTTTAGTTGTTCTAACTTCTTCTAAGGTTTACTTTGAAAATTAGAACAGGTCTGCTTAGGTCCTAGAACATCTGGAAGCTATCTGAACATGAAAGGTGATGTCAGTGAGACTATTTACTGAACACTTTTTTTGTGGCTTCTGAAGTGTTGTTTTCATATGACTGGTAATTATACTCTGTGTTATGATTGTATTTTGTCTTACTAAAAATAATGGGTTCCCTTATCAGGAAAGAAACTAGCTGAACAACTCTGTCTTTTTAACAAAATCATTACAAATCAACTGCTCTCCTGGTTTGCTGAGTACCCGGTAAAATTGAAGAAGCAAGAGAAAACCAGGCTTTTGTTTGTTGTTTATGATGGAGAAGTATTTGAAATGATGGTGTAGACTTGGAGTTACTTTTGGTGTTTGAATAAAGTGATGTGTGGAGAATGCCTTGGTGAGAAAACCACCTGTGTCAGCTTCTTGAATTGCAAAATAGGGAGAGGAGGGGGTTTGTAGTTTAAAACTGTCCCTGCAAGTGTATTTCCATCACCCATAATCGTAGTCGCTGTCCAGTACCAGCTCTGCGGCTGGGAGAGCAGCCCAGCCTACCTGTCAGGCAGCTGCTGCTCTGGGAAGATAGAGAGACAAATAATGAGAAAGCTGTAAGACCAAATGCAAATACTTTGGGCTAAGAAGGAGAGATGGGAGAATTGGTGAGAAGGGAAGTAAAAAGAGACATGCTATCTGGAAACAGAAAATGAAAGCATTGGAATCCCTGTTGTTTAATAAGAGGTTGCCAGACAGTTGGTGTGACTTCTGAGAAAGTACACTTGAGGATTTTTCCTCCTTTGTCTGGAGTGGAAGACATAAGCATAACTAATCATAAAGCTCATGCAGATGTGCTAGAGATGGGTGGGGCACCAGGCCCCAGTGGGGGATGTGAGGCTTCAGCAATCTTATTAGACTGCCTGACCTCATGTGTGTATGTGTTCTTTATAAATGCATGGAGCTTCATCTCTCCAGCTGTTGCACACATGTTTTAATAAGAATATTTGGTCAGTTTTTAGCTCTCTGCAGTGTAAGTTAGACACTGTATGAGTAAAACCATATTTCTTATTTGTACCCTGCATTCATTTATTGCTGTGTGTCATTAAGCACTCTCTAGTAATAGTAGAGTTCCAGTGATAAAATTGCATTTGTCTGCTCAATGGAAAATAGAGTCTACTAGCATTTGCAAACAAGTCTCTCTGTGACACTTCTTCAAAGATTAAATTCTGAGTTCAGTTGTGATAAATACCTTTTGACAGTCATTTGAAGTCAGTTAAAGATGTGAGAAAGAGTAAAGAAGGGGACAAGCAGTATTGGTTCACTTTGGGTTTGGATTTTTTTTTTGGTATTGATGTTGTAGGGTGAGTTTTTATGTTCCAGGGGTTTTATTTCTTTTTAATAGTTGTATTGATGCTCTGTATTAGCTAATAATTTATATTTAGCAGTTATGCAAAAGCTAAAAATCATGCAAAAAACCCCTAAGGAAGCTGGGGAGGAGTAAAAAGAAATTCGATTCATGCTTTTTATAATGTTTGCATAAGCGTGAAACAACACAGGCAAGCTGCTTTAGAGACCAAAGTTAAATATTCGGTTCATGTTGCACTTCTTGAATTGTATGTGGAGCACACCAAACTAATTTAAAACATTAACAGAGAAGTGGTATAAATTTTGAATGCGGATCCTCATTCAGTGTGTTGGGAGGCCTGTGAGTGCTCTCGATTAGCTCTGAGGGGCTGTGAATAGTTAATTATTCAGCACGGAGTTCTGAAGTTCAAAACTCTAAGCACTTTCAGCAACAGGTCAGTCATGTGAAGTCTCAGTACTCAGTCGTTTCTTGCAATGCTGCTCTGGACCTTGTTTGCTCTTCATTGTGAGTGACTTTAAACTTTGTTTTCCCAAGAAAAATGTGTGTTTCTAATTGTTGTATGCTAGATCCTTTGTTTTAATTCTGTCAGACAACTATAGAAGTTAATTTCTTTTGTTAGGTTTAAAGTAAACAAACTTTGGTACAGCTCCAGAATCTAAATGACAAGTGTATTTTTGGAAACTTTTGTATTATGTTTGAAATATATTAACTTTCTGTGAATGTGGCTCCATTCAAGCTTTTTAAAAGAATGCTTATAAGAAATTAGAAAGGTCTCGTGAGGTAATGCGTCTTCACTGTGGTTTGGTTTTGTTTCTAATGGTAAAATTCTTAATAATAGTATCTTTTCCATATAGTGGACATGAGAGTGTTGTAGGACACGAGAGTGCTGCCTTCAGAATTTACTGTAACATAAATATATTAAGAGATGTAGAGAGTTTTCCTTTTATGCTGTTTTGGATTTTTTTTTAAAGTGACACTTATTTAGTGATCGGTCTTTGCATTCAAGATTACACTGGCTAGTCACTAAGATGGGGAAAGGTATCAAGATAATTAATATGTGAAAGCAGATTGTGACTGAAATGTCAATAAATATTACAACACAGTAGAATTGGTTATACTGTTATTTTATTACTGTATAGAGGTAAATATTGTGGAGCTGGTAGGATTTGTTTGAATAATTTTAATAATAAGAAGAAAAATTTGGGGAGGAAAAATATCACTATTTCCTCCCATATCTATTCTATATTAAGTACACTGGCACTGCAATTTGGGTTCATACTGCATAGTACAGTATTTCTGTTTATACTAATCCAGTAAATCTACTTGGAGAATACACAATTAGGGTTCTTTGCATAATGCAAGGGAGGTAAAAAAAGTAACTAATTTACTTTTTTCAAGGTACATATAAAAAACTCTTGTTTTGGGCTTGATGTTTATTGGTCTTTTTTTTTTTCCTTTTTTCTTTTTTTAATTTGTGGATAAAGTGTGGTTCATTCCTGTTTTGAGAATTGTTAGTTTGTCAGTATGGAATCATATATATAAATACATAATTGACTTTTAATTTTTATCCATTTATTTCAGAAGAAAATCTAAAGCACCACCTCCTCCTTCTGAAGCAACACTCACTGTTGTTTCTCCATTTGGTAGCATAGAGTCAACCAACCTCATCATGGAACAGAAAGAGAATGTAATCGATAAAGATATTGAACTATCAGTGGTCCTGCCAGGAGATGTGATCAAGTACACTACAGTTAACGGGAGGTACGTTACACAGATTTTTGTTTAATTTTTTTTTCTTTCTCAAGTTTACTTCAACCTTCATCCAGGTTTTAATCACTTGGTAAAGCACTTGAGTTAAGTGAGCCTGAGAATAAAGTGCATCCAAAGAAGAGCAGCGAAGCTTGTGAAGGGTCTAGATCGCAGGTCGTATGAGGAGTGGCTGAGGGAGCTGGGGTTTTTTAGCCTGGAAAAAAGGTTCAGGGGGGACTTTTTCTCTCTCTACAACTACCTGAAAGGAGGTTATAGTGAGGTTGTGGTCAGTCTCTGCTTCCAAGCAACAAATGATAGGATAAGAAGAAATGACCTCAGGTTGTGCCAGAGGAGGTTTAGACTGGATATTAGGAAAAATTAGCTTATGGTAAGGATTATCAAGCATTTGAACAGGTGGCTCAGAAGTGGTTGAGTCGCCATCCCTGGAGGTATTTAAAAGAGATGAAGATATGGTACTTAAGGACATGGTTTAGGGGTGGACTTCACAGTGCTGGGTTAATGACTGGATTTGATGATCTTAAAGATCTTTTTCAAATGAAACGATTCTGTTATTCTACTATGATTTTGGGTAGATATGGAAACATCTACTTTATACATTTATCTACCATTTGAGAAGAATGTTTTTTTGAGATTCAGAAGTTCTGTGTGGCACCTCTCAAGATGTGTAGCCATAAATGTTGTTTTTTCTGGTCACTACAAATCTCTATAAAATACTGTTTTGTATGATGCATTGAATTTTCCCAGATAAGACATTTACTGTGAGGTTGAAATCATAAATCCTGGGACTTAAAATGTTGTGTTAATTATCATAGCAGGCCTACTAAGGAGGCTGCTATTCAAGGCCGTGTATGGATCACAGCAACTCAGATGCTAGTTCGTTGCTGTCCTAAGCTGTAATAAACAAACCTGCTTGTGTATTGTGCTTGTGTTAGTGTACCACCCATGTCTTTGCTACTGAAAGCAAGAAGATTGATTTACTTACTTATTCATTCAAACCAGGTGATGTAAATGTGTGGTTATACCTACTTCACTTCTTAATGAGAGATAAAGTCTGGCTGGAGTCTGTTTGTACACTGTGTCATTTGCTAGAGTTCATGAGGTCATTGCTTAGGCATCAAATGTGAGCTTGTTCACCAGAGCTGCAGTGGATGAACTTATGTGTTTTGTTTTTTTTACACCTCCCCTTGACTCTGTGTGGTTTTCAGGATAACTTATATCTGAGATTTTATTTCCCAGAAGAAATTTTCTGAAATAATTAGAGACTACCTGATGCTTTATGGTGTTCTTGCCAGCCTGTTTACAAGGAATGTTGGAGTCTGGAAATACAGTACCTTCCTTTCTTTTTAAAATTTCTTAAAGGTGAGACGCCATGTGTACACTGTCAGGAACTTCTCTTTCTTCTTTTCTCTCCCTTTGTCCACACTGATGAGTACTGTGGCCTTCCCTCATGCTTTGCTCAGAACAAAGTGCTGGAAAGGAGTGTTGCATGTATCTTCACTTGGTCAGATTACATTGTGTATAATTACTCAGTGTTCAAGACAGGCCTCACAGGCTTATCAGGAAGTGCATATGTTTCCCAATCAGTTTTATTATTCCGCCGTTACAGGGATTTTTCAATCCAGATACTGGATGTGATTGAGTTCATAAATCTCTTTCTTGCAAATAAGAGCCAATATTAGCACTGCTAAGCTCACTCGGAATGAGAGGAGATACTATGCAGCACCTGCAGTCCACTGTGAAACACATTTCAAACTATCCTTTACTCTAACTTTGCTCTGTCTTGATAGTCTTATTTTGTGAACAAATAGGCAAGATCCCTCTAGAAATGACATAAACAGACAAATTGGTACTTTGTCTCTTTCCTGTTCATAATTGGAGATGAGCAGCTTCAAATGTCCTGAGGAGAGAATACCTTTTAAATCTCATACTAGAAAAAGCAAAATGGTGAGTTTGAACAGCCATTTGTTCAAATTCTATAGTCCACTAGAAGAAACTTCTCTATTTCAGATAAAGTTGGGTTGGTTTGCTCCCTCTGCTTTGGCATAGTGGATAGCATGAGCTATGCAGCACAAAGCAAGGTGTTACAGAGATCAAAATCCTGAGTATGTATGAGTAAGCAAAAGAGGATCGGAATGAAATTCAGAAGGAATTTTAGAGAAAAAGATTACAAGACAGAAGAATATTGATTCTTGTGTTGATGTCAAATAACTAAAGTGAAAGACTGAGAAAAAGAAGGAGAACTGAAATAACTCATCCCTTGTTCTGAAACTTCAGGCATGGGTGGATTCTCTTATTTAAACCTCAACACCAATTTATACTTTGTAGTAGTTTGCAACAGGGATTCAGTTCAGCTCTTCAGAATCTGACAGTGATGTGTGCACTCTCCTAACATCAGAATTCCTGGAGGGGGATCCAGGCAAACAGTTATCTCAAAAGAATGACCAACCTCCCCCCCTCAAACATGGTAAGAGCAATGAGTGGGAGGAAGTGAAGGTAAACTGTTCTGAGACAGGAATAGAGAAATGAGTGAAGTTGTTTGTTTGTTTTTTTTTTTTAATTGGAATGTTTTCCAGAGTGATTTTACAGCATATGACTGAAGAATTTTCAGCAGCCAAAGAAGAAAAAAAAACAAACCAACTTAAAAACTATCTTTCTTTTTAGCAGCCTAATCATTTTAATTTAGTTTTTTTGTTTCCCACAGGGAAGAAATGCAGAGTTTGAGAAAGTTTTCTTGAAATTGGGTGATTAGTTTCAGTTGTATGCATCAGTAAATTAACTTGGCAATTTCAAGGGCCAATATGATAGTGACATTCATTAATTTGGAAACAGTGTGTCAAACATAGTTTTGTAGGGTAGTGTGTTCAGGACTTCAGTTTCAGATGCCTTTTAGAGAGACCTTAACTTTGCTGAATTTGTTTTATATGAGTCCTTTGTGAGTTTTCATTTGATCCATTCTGAAGTATTTTCAGTCATTAATAAACTGTTGGTTTACTCTGTATAGCTACCTACTGAATAACAAGCTTTGTAGTGTTGCCCTACTTTTCTAAACCTATTGTACTTAAATTTATTTGTAACAAATTCTGGGAGTTTTGGTGGGTTTTCTTGTTCTCCATAACAACAAATGTCTTTTTCTCTTTAGCGAATAGGATTAGTAAATATTTTTTTCACGGAAGACCATGAAGCCACAGTAATTAAGTAATTGGAGATCTATAGCAAACCACAGTGTGTGTAGGTTTCTTCTCTCTTTTTTTTTTAATATTCCATCCCTACCTAGGAATACTTTTGGTGACTATTGACAATTTTCTTTGTTCAGTGGTGCTTAGTGCAAGTTTCATGATGGAAAGGCTTTGTTCCTAAAGTTTGATTGTATCAGAATCTTAACTTTTTTTTTTTTTCTTAAGTAGCAAGTTTCTAGCCCTTGTTTTTGGAGAGGAGTGTGGAAGTTTGATGCAGTTTTTCCTTTAAACACTTGATTCAGTATTTGAAGGTACACCTTATACTGTTGATCACAAACATAACATGGTTTGATACATTCTGGTAAAGGTTCATCCTTTAACTGTGTTATGTAATGAGAAGCTGCTTTTAGACACTTTTTATTGTTATTTAGCCAGGTAGGAATAACCAGAGGAAAACAGATGAGAGATGAAGGGGTGCAGGAATATGTAAATATATTTAAAATCAGAGATTTCCAGAACTTAAGTAACTTAATGAAGTTAAGTTGAAAATAAGTATTTTACTGAAATTAGATAAAGCAGGACAAGGAGATGATGTAGTCTGAGCCAGCTGATGGCCACTGTCTGGCATTTTACTAAATATTAATTATGGAAGCTGTTAAATTTACTGTGATAGATGTATTCTCCTATCTACAATCCTTGAAGGTTTTAGCAAAAATAGTTTTACAAGTTTTGGAGGATGTGATTACAAGAAAAGCTTGATTTTTGTACCACTGTAGGAATACCTTTCTAAAACAGTCACTGAAGACTTCTTGGACTCCACTGGAGGATGGGGGTACTTCAAGTCCATCATCTTCCAGTCAAGCAAGTCATTTCTGGAAGTACCAATGGAAATTAAACTTGCACTAAATCACTGTTCTCATGTACTAATTTGCATGTACCTGTCTTGTTTGTGAGCAGCTGTTTCTCACTTATCATTCTGTCACTTCTTGTGTCACTAGTTAATGGGAGGGCTCACCCCTGTCACTGTGGTGAATTTCTATAGGATGACTTTTTGTGATCTTTGCTTGGGAATTCTCACACTGGTCATCTTTGGTGTTCTTACTGTTCTCCAATAACTGAAGAGCAGCTTTTAAAGCTAGTCAGTGTATAAAAGTGCACCAGAAAAAAAGTAATGGGTAGCTTATTGGATATGCTGATAACCAGAAAGGTCACTGCAGAAGTAGTATCTGCAGTCACCTCTGGCTCTCTCCTCCCTGACCATGCCCAGCCCCCAGTGAGATGGGGGAATGATATGATTTGCATTTGCAGCCCTTTTTTAGGGTGGGATGGATGTATTTGTTTTATTAGGGATTAGAAGTACAAGAAATAGAGGAGTTCCTCCTTCTTTCTTCTAGCAGGAGGTGAATTGAAATAAACTCTCTAGTTTAGCTATGTGAAGAGGGAGAAGTAGTTATTATTCTGCATTTGGCATGGTATTCCTCAGATTACTATATATATCATCCAAATGAAAGCATGGGAATATATGACATTCTTCTGTACCTCTTCAGACCATCTGATAACCACTTTTGATACACTGGAGTATGATTCCTGTATGTTTTGTTTTGTCTTATTTTTCCTTCTGCCTTTGTCTCCTGAGGCAAATGTTCTTCTGCCCCTAAAGCAGGCTTTCCTCTGGAAAAAATACGTCTGTAGTATCTATATCTGTCAGCTTCCAGTTTCCATCTTCTGGAAGTGCAGCATGTGCACCAGAGAGTCCAGCCCTGCTGCCACAGATGAGAAGACAGTTTGCTTAAGGAACACTTGGTCTTAAAGACAAAGTGAAAACAGGAGTGATATTCTAGGGTAAACTAAAGGGAGGAAAAATTCAGTGTTCACAGTAATTTCTAACATTGAGTCATTCTTAATTCTTTTTACAGAACTGTATAATAGGAAAAGTCTGTTTTAACTTTCTACTTAATAAATGTATTAATGTTCTTTGTTATCTAGAATTCTGCATGGCCTGAGTCCTCTTTGTAGAAGCTCTCTGTTTCCACATTTGGCTATGCTACCAGGATACTTGCATCTGTTATGAGATCACATCTACAGTTTAAGATTTCTGATAAAGCCATACCAGCCAAACCCTGTATTAATTTTCTCATAGACACTTCCGCATTCTTTTCAACATACCATTTCATTGCTTCACAGACTTTTAAATTATTTTCATAATATACTTGTAAGACAGAGCAGGTGATGGATTTCTGTGTTTGTAGCTGTAACTGAGAGATACAGAGAATGTAAAAAAGAAACTGTCCTTACAGATGGTTACCCAACTCAAAAAAAATTGAGGAATGATCTGATAGTACTACAACCTTATTCCGTTGCTGTAACATGCAAAGTTAGTATACTGTCCTTACATTTGGTTTATTTAAACATTTATGACACTTCTTTTTAAAGTACAATTTAATAAATTTATTTCAGTAGCAACTGGAAATGCTCAGCATGTCTTAATATGCCGTTCTGCATGTTCTTCCTTGAGCACTGTGAGAACAAGGACATAAAATTACTGACTACATATGACAAATTCAGTTTGCTGGGCTTCATTGTGAAAGGACATCTGATGCATCACACAGAGCTTCTCAAGAAATTGTATCCATCTGCTGTATTGTCATTTAGCTTCTTTCCCTCTGTCTGTAAACACCTAGAGAATTTTAGGATCCCTAATGCAAAACCTCCTTAAAAAGGTGACTTCCTCAAACTTTATTTCTCCCACTCCTTCCAAAAAGCTCATTCTCATCCCTTCATACAAGGGACTTTCTGAAAATAAAGTCCCTTGTAACTCTGAACAAATATAAAAATTTCAAGCTTCAGGAGAGAACTGTTCTTAATGAATAGCAGGGCATTTATCACCACTGTTAAAGTTCCCACTAAATGTCAAATGAGGTGGCTAATCCACATGTCCCTGTTGACCTCAGGAAAGCTTTGCTTCACACAAGCAAAAATTTCCCCCTTTGCTCAAGCACTTGGCATACTTCTATGCAAATTGGTCTTGTTTTCCTTTTAGTGGTTTTTTGGGAGTTGACTTTTTTCTTTTTAATTTTATTTTTTTAAATCTTGAAGATATTTAGAATTGGTGCCTGGCAGTAATTATTTAGTCATGGAAGAGAAGGGATGAGCTAAATTAAATGTTTAGCAGCATGTTTTGTTATAACCTGCTTAATTGTCACCTGTTGTGACAATTCCATATGTCTTTTACAGGAAGCCGATGATGGACTTGCTGGTCTTTCTCTGTGCACAGTATCATTTAAATCCATCAAGTTATACTATAGAGTTGGTATCAGCAGAAAGTAGCCAGATTAAATTCAAACCCAACACGCCAGTGGGAATGCTTGAAGTGGAAAAGGTGATTTTAAAGCCAAAACAAATAGATAAGAAGAAACCTGCTCCAGTTATACCAGAGGTGAGAACTAAAGTTAAAGCAAATTGAGAAATTAGAGTCACTGTTGTATTCAACATGTTGAGCTGGTAGCTTGGCCTCTTGTTTCAGCTTTTCCTGTTGTCTTTCATTCTCTCACCTTGCAACTCTGGGAAATGCTTCGCTCTATGTTCTTGATAACCTCCTCTTAGGTAAAATATATTTGAATTTGTTGCAGCAAATGTCTTTGCTGCCAAAAGAAGGAAATATTACAATCTTATTTGAAATTCCCCATCCTACTGTCATTTTGAAAATTTCTGCAGATGAAGTGTGGCTGAATACAGCCTTCCACAGACTGAAAATCAACATCTTGTACAATCTGTCATGCTGTGATATATGTGCCCTTCTGACTGTATGTTCATTTTCCTTTAATGCATACTGTACTCTCTTGTTACTTGGCTTTATTTATACATTCTTAAGAAGGCAGAAAGTTTTAGAAGTACTAAACCAACTTCTGGATGTTGTCTAAATCTCTCCTTCCAACTTTGTCCTTCTACTGTATAGAAGAATACTCTAATTTATCTAAAGCACTGAGCAGAGGGCCAGAAGTGCTCTTCTCCCGCACTTTTACCTTCCTCCTACACATGTGTGCACACACTCACTCCTAGCTCATCACCAGACTTCTGCAGCTCCTAATGTAACCTCACAGGGCACCTCACCCCAGGCATACCCTGCTGCACAGGCACATGGCAGGTGCTAAAGGAGAAGCAGACTGCTTCACGTGTCTTTTCCTTGCATTACAGGGAATAGCAAAATAGTTCTTAGTTTCTCATGCAATGATTCTGAACCTATAACATTGGTGAAGCTGGCCATAAGTGGAGTTCCTGTGGTTACTCTGAGGCTGTTATAAAAATGCCAGTTCATTCAGAATTTGTGCTGCTATTTATTGGAATTTTTGTCTCTTTAGCAAACGGTAAGGGTAGTGATAAACTACAAGAAGACACAGAAGACAGTCGTAAGAGTTAGTCCACATTCACCCCTTCAAGAACTCATACCAATTATCTGTAGCAAATGTGAGTTTGATCCTTCACACACTCTGCTGTTGAAGAATTACCAGTCTCAAGAACCCCTTGATGTGACAAAATCTCTTAATGACCTTGGACTAAGAGAACTATATGCCATGGATATCAGTCGAGGTAAGATACTTTCCTAAATTGCAATTATATAAAAGATATTTGCTTAATATTTTAATAATGTATACATTTAATTGTTTTTTTTTTACTTATGAAGAAATTATTTTCTAGCAATTTAGTATATATTTCATTAGTCTTCCACAAACTTGAAACTGAGACAGGTTTACCTGGACTTTTGTTTTTGGAAGTGCTGTATAGAAATTTTATTTTCTAAGCAAGTGTTAAGTAGCAACAAAGGTAGCTGAGTACAAATCCTCACTAAAAGCAAAGCTTCTTTTTTTCTTCCCTCACACCTTCCTCAAAAAATGCAACAACATTCTGTTTCCCTTAGCTCATAGACATAAGATCATGATAACCTAAAATGAATGGAAACATTAGAGAAAATTAGTTTTGCTTTAAAACTATTTAAAATTTTAAAAGTGTTAGAATATTCTGATGGTGTTTATGTATATTTCTGAGTGCTGCTTGCTAATTTTATAGGTTGTGAAGGAATAATAATGGTCTTTTTAATTGTGGTCCAATGGGCACAATGAACTAACTTCCTAATCTTTGTACAGACATTCCTAGTCCAGGTTTTAATTTCAACTGGACAGCTCTGTTTTTCATGACAGATTTATTGTACTATGATTAAAAATTCTGTACAGTGTGGTTTCAGACATTTCTCACAGGAAATTGATTGACTCCAGGTTTTGACCACTACTGTATTTGTTTCACTTTATTTCTGCTCTAAAACCTGGGGGGTTTGTTGGGGTTTTATTTGTGTCTTTACCCCTCTTTTTACCTAAATATGGTAACCTTACTCTTTGGTGATTACAGTTTTAAGAGTTCTCTCAGTTACTTCCTAAAGGTCAGAGTGACAGATTTGGGCAATATGTCCATTTTCTGTAGAGAAAACAAAAATGAAACATCTCTCTTCCCCAGTGGATAACAAAGTATTTTAAGTTGTCTAAACATGTTACTTTGACTACATATGCCCATAGTGCATTGTCTGGTTTGTTGTCTGGTTACCTACTGCTTTCATTTACAGACTGGCAAAGCTGCATTTTGCACAATATGACTTGTGCCTCATTTGTATCAACAGCCAGAAATTCTTAGGATGGCATGCAAGGACATATGTTGGCAATGCCCTACGAGGAAATTTAGATATTCTTCAGTTCTTAATACGAAGTAGTTTCAGCATTTCAATTTTGCAGACAGGTTCAAAGTTCTGAATATTCAGTTATCTTTATAAAAATAAATGGTGAAGTATACTTTTTATTTAATAGAATTTAAATTCAAATTTTATTTGATTAACATATTTTGATTTTACATTCCTCTTTGTCTTCCAAGTTTGGACTGCCTGACAATCCAAAACTTACAGAGCAAAATATTCTAAATACTGATTTTTCTCTTTGCTTCAGAAATATAATTGGAGCCTCCCTCCTTACAAACAAGATTCCAGTCTGTGTTGCATGTCTCCAGTTTCAAGTTCTTGAATAGCTCATAGTATTAGGCAGTAAAGATACACATCCTTTTATTTCAGCAAAATAGCCAGTTAGTTTTTCCCTAATGTTGAAGGTTCAGCTTGGCTTTCTCTGTTTATAACTTGTAACTGCATCCTTGATTCAGATTCATATTTTCTGTCTTTCTTTTTGTCTTTCTGTAGCCACATCACCAGTTGATTTAAATTTACGGTCTTTGCAAGGTATGATTTACTGAAATAGGCGGTGAAACTGTAGCACTTATGTGACATTACCACCCGCTCCTGTTGTAACATCTGCTTAACTGTGACACCAGTAATATGTCTGTCCTATCTTAAATGCATATTTAAAATGATAGTCCAGAAATGGATATGCCCAGCTATATAAAAAGTATTTTTTATAGTTTTACCCTAGATCAATTTATTACATTAAGGATCACATTTATATTGATACTTGTACCAGCTTTTCTGATTTCTGTTGCTCATTGCATTTGCGTTCAATGGGATTTCTTTAAGAAAGTTCATTCCACTAAAAAATTAGAAAAGAGACAACTATTACATTTACAAATCCTCTGCATGAATAAAACCCCGTATGAGCTCAGTTGGTGATAAAAACACCAAGGTTGTGGGCTTGATCCCCATATGGGCCATTCGCTTAAGAGTTGGACTCCTTTCCAACTCAGAATATTCTGTTATTCTCTGAAAAAAATGTAAGGAGGACAAATTCTGCAAGCCACCAGAATGTGACTGCCACACAGTTAGTTAATGTGTGCAGGACCGATCGAGGCTTTGGGTGATCTTTCTCCATACTCACACCATGTGCAGGCTGGGGCCTGGGTTGTCCCACTTGACACTTTGCCAGGAATTTAAGCTGTCAGGAATGGAGGGCTGAAAAGACTGTGCTCCTTTTCCCTTTTACAGCCTTTGTTGTATGAACCATAACGTATGACAAGTGGGATGGGCTGGAGTAAGTGCTAGGGGTATTAAGAGCTGGTCAAACTCATCTGACCTGAGTTCTGAGAAGGACAGGAGGAACATGGATGGTGGGAGATCTCTTCATTTTGCAGCACCTAGAAAAAATATTAGTATAGGTGATTTATGATGAGTTTTGTGTATCACTGCAGGAGGTTTATGACTCAGTGAAATAGGAAGAATCAGGAGAAATAATATCCGCATGAAATAACATGTAGTACTCTTGTTTTCTATTTTAGACTCCTACCAATCTGAAAACATAGATGTTCTGAAGGAGAAAGAAAACAAAGGATTTTTCAGCTTTTTTCAACGAAACAAGAAGAAAAGAGACCAAGTAAGGTGTAACTTTGTATCAGCAAAACTTCTAGAAACATATTCATATTGAACAATCAATACTGTTGATTGTTTTCCAGAAAGTATATGCAACTTGGATTTCTTTTTATTTCCCACACTTCAAGGCTGCCAGTGCCCCAGCAACTCCATTGATGAGCAAGCCAAGGCCAGCATCTATCACTAGATCTAACACTGTCAGCAAGCAGTATGATTCAAACACTCTGCCATCAGAAATGCCGAAGAAACGGAGAGCTCCTTTACCACCTATGCCAAACTCCCAGAGTGCTCCCCAGGAACTCTCACAAGCCCAAGTCAGACCTGCACCTGATATTGTGAAATCCAACAGCTTTGATAGGAATGCACAGGTTAGTTACATTTCCTTCACTTCTCTTCATAGGTATAGACATAATAATCCTGACAACCCCGTTGTTAGTATATGATGAGGCTCGAAATAAATGGGAAATAAAAGTATAATACTTGCTTTTAAAAATTTTAGCTTGAAAATAACTATAGAAATTGAAAGATGCATTGCTTTTAAACTTCAGATCCAAAATAGTTGCTGTATTTTGAAAAGGTAAAACCAACTTGTTGTATAAGTTGGTCTTGTAAGCACCTTTTTGTTCTTTTGTTCTCATATACTTACATGTGAGAACATTATCTTGCTTTATCATATCTAGTAATTGATGTTGTGATATTTCTATTATTTTTTAATGTTTTAGTTACATGGGATAATAAGTAGTTTGTTCTTTACATTGCTAGAAAAAGGTGGGCATCTTGAGGAGCAGTCTAAACATTGTTATGCTCCCAACAAGTCAAAGTAAGGTTTTTATTTTAATCAAATAGGGCTGTATTTTATTGAAGCTATGAGATGTGGGCTACATATTTAAGTAACCTATATATCCCATGACTTGAAGAAATTCTGCCAATAGATTTGGTAGAATTGAGGCATTAACTCTTACCCTGGCATTGCACAAGATTAAAATTTTTTTGATTTTTTTTTTGTTTATTTATTCCATATTTTGCTGTAAATACATTTAAAGGTTGTTTTTTGATGTGAGGTTATTGGCATGCTAGAAAAATTAAATGCAGAACTAAAACACAAGTCTGAGGGATTAATTTTGAGTTAGACTTGGAGACAAATTTCAGACTGTGACTTCCTTTATCTTTATACAATGATTTAGTCTTTCACTGATGCACAGAACCACAAGAGAGCACTGTTTAACAGAAGTTCTGTCTTTGTGTATTGTGTCTTGCTGAAAAGCTTTATCATTTATCATTTGAAGAAGACAAAGGTTTCTTTCTGAATTTTAATAAAAGGAACCTGGGGGAGAGAATAAAATAACGATCTTTTTTTACCTCACTATGTTTGTCTTTTAATTGAATTCAAATTTTTTGAAAATAATTTATTAATGTCAACATGCTTTAAATGATTAATGTCCTATTATGTCTGAAAGTAACGTATGACTGCTTGACTGTCACTCAAAAAGTTGCTTAGATTTATTATTTTGTACTGACATTTCTTACTCATCTGAAGTGATTTGGCTGAAGTTGAATAGCTCACAAAGAGAGGACAGAACAAATTATATTTTTGTGCAGATTTTCTGTTTTGTACTACTTTGTGCAGCCCCCTTAGGAAATGCATGCCAAAGACTTCTAAGGTGACTTCTGTTTCATTCTGACTTGATTGCACAGTGATTTATCAGAAAACACAGAGCTTGGGATTTAAATGTGCTCTGTGTTTTGAATTAATTCAAATAAAATATTTTGTCTTTTAGTATCCACTTTCCAATAAATATCATCTAATTAATGAATTTGGACTGAATGGTACATATTGCTCAACTTGTTAAGGGAACTCTTGAGAGGGATCCTATAAGATACTTCCTTGGAGAATAAAGCTGCTCCTTGAAAGAGTGCTAAGACATTTCCAGAGACCTTCCTGCAGCACAAGAGTGGTCCATTTACACAACCCTAACCCTAAAAAATTTTAAATCTCCAGTCTACCCATTGGAAAAGAAAGGGAAGGGAGAAGATGGGAGAATAGGGAAAGGATGGGAACCAGCTAAACAATAAAGTACTTCTGAAAAGATTTTTTTAGCCACTGTCACAGAATAGCTTAGTTAGGATTTCTGGGAGGGATGAGTTCCATGCTTAAAAAATTAAGCCAGAACCTTTCTTGCCTTCAACTTCATGGTCAGCCCTTTAAAGGAAAAGTTGGACAGTGATGCAGTGAGTACGATGGACATCAGGGAGTTTTTGAGTAGAGTCAGGGCTACCTCGGAGAAGACAATGCTCAGGACTACCTGTAGTGAAGTTTGCATGAGAATCATTTGCTATTATTCTGAGATGTTTCAGAATTGGTGGTTGAATGTTGCATGCATCCACTTTTCAGTACATCAAATACATAACCTTGTCCCTTTATTGTATTTGCCTCTGTACCAGCAAGGATGCAGATAAATCCTAGGTGATAATAGTAATATTGTGTGTTTGGACAGAATATCACCAGCTGAGTTGCTCCAAATAAATTCTGTATGTACTTTCTTTCCAATAGATCAGAGGTATATTACTTCCTCTGTAGTACTTTGTCTAAGTTTAATTATTTTGGGAAGCTTAAGTCATGTAATAGAAACTGAGAGCATGAATACACTCAATGTAGGAGCAAATACATTTTTTTGCTCTTACACCTTGGACATCCATTTGCCTGCATACTTGTACAAAGGGGAGAAAGAAATACTAGCAATATGGCTAGCAATGTGCTTTGATATCCCTACATGATACAGTTGCCTGTATGTCCTCTGTTAAACTAAGATATGTATGGAGCAAAAGAGGTAGGTACTGGTGGTATGTGAGGTAAGGTTTCCAGCACACTGAAATGCACCGCTACTCCTATATTCTTTCCGAAATACTTACGTTTTCTTCCATTCCAGCTGCAAAATTATTATGGCTTAAATACCTTTACTTGTTTTTTGAATTGCTAAGAAGGGCAAGGCACCACGTCTGCCACTGCTTACAGAGGCTAGAACTTGGGAAGCACTGATATGTACAAGTGTCTGCTTGGGGTAGTGTGGCATTTGGTGCCAAATTTGTCTGTACATATTTGAGACTAAAAAGTTTCATATTCACCCTTGCTTATTCCAGGATGAGGAGGGTGTACAGTGTTAAAAGGAGAACTCTGGCATATGTTGTGGAAGTTATGACAGAGTTCACTGGTGTTTCTGCACAAGCATAGTTAATTAGTTTAATGATTCTAAAAAGAATTTTAATTTAAATGTAACTGATAAAGCATTGGTTATCATTGGCAGTTGGTATGACACATGAATACCCAGATGTATATATTCCACAACTTTGTCAGATATGTCTTAATAACATTATTTTAATTTTTTTCCATCTGTTTAAAGTACTATTTTCACATTACAGCCTTTGTTAGGATTTGAAAGCTCTTAATATTCATATGTTGAATAATTCCTGAGAAAATCTGTTCAGCACTCGAACCTCAACTGGAACATTTAGTTCTTTCTTGAAATCTCTCTTTGCAAGTCGTTTGTTTCTTTGGATGCAAAGGGCAGTAGAAAGGCTTATAAAAATCTTCTAGTAGCATTTGTGCTCTTATGCTGAGAACATTATTCCCTCCCCCCCCACACACACACACTCATTCTGTGCAGAAGGGAACTCTGGTGACATCTGTTTGGCTGAGCGAGTGTGCGCAGAGCTCTGAGCCAGCCGAGTCAGCTGAGGGAGCCTGTGTGAAGCAGACGAGGGTGAGACCTTTGAGCAGAGAAATGTGTCTTTGTGCAGAACAGAAGGGCTGCAGCCAGCAGCTACCGGAGAGGAGACAAATAGAACTGCCCAAACGCAAGGAGGAAGTACCTTAGCAAAAAAAAAACCCTCATTTGGGGAAATGATATTGTGTTTGACATCATCTCCTGAATAAATTCAAAGGCTGAATATTAATTGTTTTTCCTTTTTAAGAACTATTTGGGAACTGTGAATACGAAACTATAAAAGTGTAAAGTGATTTTTGTTGTGTGACATTTTAATCAAGAAACTGACTTGTTTAAAGACTATTCAAGCATGCAAGTATTTTTAATTAGGAGTAGAGTATGTCCCTATCCTCTGGTGTTCCTAAAAGAACATTTCACCTTGTGCTTTGTGTTTTTGCTCTTTAAAGCCCTGAGTTCTGCTTTGCTGTAAGAGGTTTGAGTTGCTTGATTTGGCAAGTGATATTTTTTTTTGGAGTGATGTCTGGAGGAATTGTGTGAATGTTGTGGACAGTGTTGCTCCTTACAGTGCAGTAAAATATCTATGGATCTCTCATACCTGGTACCAAGGTGGGACAAATCAAATGACTGAGTGTGCCCATGGTGGCTCAGAGGATAGTTTTCATCATTCCAGTTTATTCATTCAAGTATTCTATTGAGATCTAACAGGAGCTACCAAATACTGCCTGACAGACATCTTGTGCCAGTATCTTTTCTCTTGTGAGTAATTTTCTTTATAGGTTTACTCTAGCTTTTGCTCTTTAATATCCTGCTTACTGTAGGATATGTATTTGTTCAGTGGTAGCTTTCTAAATATTAGCATCTTATTCCATGGAAATTAACACTGTCAACAGTTCTCTTGTCTGTGATGCTTTCAAAAGGATTGCCAGTGAAACAAGAATTTGTAGGTGTTTTTATACCATCTCTGCTCCTCGATATTGTGCTTTGTGAAGTGGGATAGTTAATTGAAGCACAGAGAAGTTCTCTGAAGATGAAACCCCATCCAGTAGCTGTGTGGATCCTTCTAGCCAGAAATGAGTGTTACTGCTGAATTTTATCATATTGTTGAGTAGAAAGTGATGGAGATTAGAATTACTACAGAAAAAGCTGTGTCTAGTGCAAAATGCATTCCTTTATTGCTGGGAATCCTGAACATTGTCATTGTAATAGATGTGGATATAGAACGTTTCTTCAGCATAAGGCAAATTGCAATTAAGAATGGCAAACAAATTTACAACCACTGTCTTTGAGACAGAATGTGTTTTTAAAACAACTTAAAATGCAGTTGGGCTGCTATATCATAAAAATATAAGGTCTTTAACAGGTATCCTTTGTCCATTTTTAATGGTTTTGATTATTTATGAATTAAGAACTTTTTTACTTTTGCTACAATAGAGAGGACTTCACTACACTGCAACATCAGTAGGTACTATAATTATTGTTTTGCAACTTATTAAAATTTAACTTCGATAAGTATTATAAGACGGTTGTACTTCCCAATATGAGTTTTGAAATTGGGCATTCCAAAAATTTCTATGAAAGTTCAAGTATTTTAAAGAGGGAAATAAATTTCTAATAATTGAGTATACAGCCCAGTTAGGACTGCTGTTGAAGGAATGGAGAAGGAAACATTGCGTTCTGTCATTGCAGTGGGGTGTAGGTGAAGCTACTTTCTACAATGATTTTAGCTACTTTTAGAAAAGAATTATTTTGGATTTGTAGAATAGCCTATGGGCATAGAAGAATTCAAATTCTCATTTATACTGTATGTAACAACTGATTTTCTTTCACTGATCTATGTTGCACCTCTGTGAATATATTCAATTACTGTAGAAAATATTTTTTTTTTTTAAACAACTCCTTGGAGGAATTAAAATGAAAAACATAATACGTTTGGTAATAGATATATATTCTCTCTTTCCCAAATGTATATTATAAATACTTCTGGAGAATAATTACTAAAGCTATTTTGCTGTTTTTCATTGATTGCTAATAATCTTCCTCCCCTGTCTCCCTTCCCAGGCCCCTCCAGGATTAGTACGGAAAGGTTCCCTGCCGCTCAGTGACACTGCTTCCGTGAACTCCTCTCTAAGGAGGATGAAGCGCAAGGCGCCCTCACCACCCTCCAGAGCACCAGAAGATCAAAGTGAAAGCAGTAATGAGCCTGGTAATCTTTTTTGCTGTTTAATTGGAAGGCAACAGAAAGTATAGCTGTTTGGCTAAACATTAAAGCAATGCCACCTTAGGAGACAAGAATTTCGAGTTAAAATATGAGTGCCAAACCTCTTCATGTGGTAAGGAGCTGGTTTATGGGACTGGCTCACGTAGTGTGTGTGAACTGGCACAGGAAGGACACAGGAGCAACCACAGAACTGCAGATGCAAAGGGTAAATTAATTTTTGTTTCCTCACCAACAGGGGAAACCTCAAAGCCACACCTGGGCAGAGGCACCCGAGCAGGGACGCAGAGCTCGGTCTGTGCGAGGGGACTGACAAACCTGCTGTTTTCCCTCTGTGTCAGGGGTTTGCACAGGAGGAGTTTACCAACCACTGTGCTTTGATCTTTCCCACAGCAGGGCAGGGATCTCCAGCACGTTCGATAAGGTGCCTTGTGAATCTATCGCAGGCCTATGTTATCTAAACGCAGGTGTTCTGCTTGTCAAACACACAAGACTAAACAACAATTAGTATCATATATGTGTTTTTTTGCACCCCTGCTGCAAATCACTTGAACGTGTTTACAGTCCTCCTCACCAGTCTTCTGTTATTTTCCCACAAGTGTGAGAAAGGCAGGTATTTAGAGCACACAGATCAGGAAAACACAGACAATGTCAAATTAATTATAGTTCGGTTAAGTATAGAATTGTGTTTGTGTTGTTCAGATGGACTGCTTGGGGTGGGGAGAAAAGATTAGCTTCTCTGTGTCAGAGAGGGTATAACAGGAAATGGACTGACAAGAAGAATCTTAGAGATAAGTTTTATATTGTTTTTTTGTGATTCTTCTGTTTGATCAAAAATTCAATTATCTGGTTCAAAAATACTGAAGAGTTGAGATTAAAATATCTGGAAAATGTGACAATGCGCAATAGTTGCTTAAGAGAAGATGTATTTCTTGAAGAACTCAGTAGTCTGTAAGACCATAATCTAACCATTTATCTAGAACTTCTGTTGGTGCAGAAATTAAGAGGAAATAAAAAGAGTTTGTTGTTTCACTTTTTGCAGTAATAGAGACAACAGAATCAGCCTCCACTCAAGTGGAAGGAAGAACCACCGAAATGCAACCTGAAACAGGTTGGTTCTTTTTCCAAAAGCATTGACAAAATCTACTTCATAGCAAGTTATGATAATTCATAGCAATAAATTACTATAGTGCAGATGTGTAATAAGAATAGAACTAATTTTAATTCTTCAGATCAATTAACTTTTCCCTTGAAGTACAAATATGGCTTTCTAAAATAAAGATGTTTTATTTTAATGTCTACAGAAACACATACAATGTATTTTGTACTGGTATCTGTGCTTTACATTTAATAAACTAAAAATTATCCCTGTTTTTCCACCTCCCTCACAAGTTGTAGAGAAGAACTAGACATAATTTATATGATTTTTTTTGTACCTCATAACAAATCTTCCAAAAGCTAAAGCCCAGTCTTGTTTTTAGAACCCTGCCTTGTGCTGCCCTTGACCTGTGTAACCTGGGCAGGAGCAAATCTGCGCCCGCCTTTTGGTTGTCATCTGAACAGCCTTTGAAAACATAAGTTGTAAATATAAACTGAATGCATAAATAGCTGTTCATACATTATTTGTTGGGTGTTATGGAAAAAATGTGATAAAGTATAGCTGTTTAAAATACAATTGTTTAGCTGCTGAACATAATGCTTTTTTAATTTAGGCAGTTTGTGCTGTGAAGTACTTTGGTTTGTAAGCACCAGACTGTAGGGTTCAGATACTGGGTACAGCATCTAAAAGTCTTCTAAAATTTTTAAAAGCTTTTAGAATAATCAGTGCCAGTGCAGTTTGGAAAATCGCTCTTCAGTGCATTACACTAAGAATGAAATCTATAAATGCTAAGCCTTAGAGTGCCACTGGCATTATATGAGGCTAAACACTCAGTTTCTGTGCTAGTTCTCCAGCTGTTTTATTCAGGATACCAGTGTACCAGTCAAATTGGTTGGACCAAGAAAACACAAATGTACCACAAAAGCTGAAAAAGTCACCTGCTAGGATGCTAGGTCTCTGGCAAAGGATAAAAAATGAAGATCAGTAATCAGTAAAGTTGGGCTTGGTTTGTGTTTAGGGCAATTTATTTAAATTGTCAGAAAAGACATTAAATAGAAAGAATAGATAATGTAATATGTGAGAGTATGAACCTATACTATGCAGTCTGAGGCTGAAGATGTAATGAAGCTGTAACCTTTCCTTTTCCTAGTTGTAGCAGATGAAGGAGAGTAATCAATTCTAAGTGAGTTATGTTTATTATGTTTATTATTTCTTAATTTTCTGTGTTGGAAACTTTTATCTACATGCAATGGGCCTAAGATGATAAGCAAGGTTATCATACTGTGATTTAAAATAAAGTTTTTTGGTTTTCTTGTACTTTTTTCTATCTTAAGATTATAAATCTGTGCTAGAATTTCTGCAGTTCCTGTCACTGTAATGTTCCAGTGCTATGTAAATAAACAGCCCTAAACTTCATAGAAATGGCTGTTTGTTTTTCCGTAGATTTAGGAACATCTACTTGAGGGATTCGAGTTCTGTAATTAAATATTCCAATTTAAGCTGTAATGGAAAGAAATAGAAAAATGTAGTTATCTTCACTGGGCTTAAACAGTCTGTGTTGAGCCCTAGGATTTACCTCTGCAGTTAGTGAGAGGCGTCATTCTCTAGTTCTCCTGCTGTCTTCATGCAAAGGCCTTTGCTGAACACTTACCGTAGTGCAGTTTTTTTAAATGTAGATACAAGTCACATAGCACAGTTTCATTGCCTCTTTTTTCTTTTTCTCATGGGATACTGCTGCTCTCTGGTGGCATCTCTGAAACTGTCCTGAGGCCTATGTATAAAGGGTCCTTTTAGCAAAGCCCCTCCTGCTGTGAAAGCCATATTAACCTGTGGTATAATCAGCTGCAGTACACTTGTCCCGTGCCTGGTCTGAAAATTATACACATTTGCGTATTGTTTTAAATGGATAAAGTAGTTCAATATCTCTTTAATTGTCAAGTTGGACATAATTTTAACTTTACAAAAAGCCTGCAGTTCCTTCCATTTGGATTAATACTGCTTTAATTGTTGGGCTTCTGGGAAGCATTGTGAGCTTTTGTTTGGCTGTGACTGGCATTCCAAAGTAGTTCTCTTATCCATTGCTACTTCTGCAAATAAGCAAAAAAAACCTAAGCTGCAAATACAGTATTACCTTCTGCCCTAAAATGAACCATTACAAATATTCAATTTGGTGTCTATTAGCTATGCACTATTTAGACACATATACATTAAGTGAAGCTATATAATATGGAATAGGCTGTTGTGAAATGACAGCTTTCCCATGGTGTAAAAAACCTGTATCTTGACAAAAATAGTTCGAAGGCACACATCTACTAGAATAAACCTTGACAGAGAATTAATTAGAACATTTGGGATTATAAGCAACAATTCTCTTTCTCCATTATGACTTTTGTTTCCCTTCCCAAAATTTAATTAATGCTTAGTCTTTTTTTTTTTTCCAGGGAAGAAGGGAAAATGGTGTTAAAAAATATTTTGAAATTACAGGTTTTTAAATAACTTTCCATCAAACAAATCCCTTGCTATAATCCTATTGGTTACAGTATCTCTTAAGAACCTTGTTAAGGGCTATAGAGTCAAGAGCAGATTTGCATGATGTAGTCAGGCTTTCCGGCTTCGGTGCTTATGAGCATAACAGCTCACAGAGCAGCAGCAGCCTGTTCTCTGCAAGGCAAAGAGTGTTCTTACTACTCAAAGGAGACTTGCAGTTGGTATGTCAGTCATCTCATCAGGTATATTGTCAGTGTCACACTGGAGGCTTTAACAATGTTGTTTTAGGGCTAATTAAAACCCAATGACAAACGTTCAGAGAGGATAAACTATATGCAGATACAAATGCAATATATATTGCATATGGAACTACATATAGAGTGTATAAGCAATAAGGCAACAGTGTGTAGCCAGTATTGCTGTAAGTTCTTCCTAGTGATATGTTGCATATAAAAGCTGAGGGTTTGGAAACAAGTCAAAATCTGAACTGCTCCCCTGGGGGAATTAACTGCATGATGTATGTGAAGGATGGTGGTTAAATGTTGTTTGTGTATCAAATGCATTCAGACTTCATTCTGCTGCAGCAGTGGTGGCCCAGGCCTGGAATGAGATCCAGTAATAGATGAAAACCCACTAGCAAGCAAGGCTGATCTAATACCAGCAAATGAAGTAGAGCACTTTGGAAAAAGTGTGAGGGTTGGTTTTGTTTGGTATTATCCATTTGTAGGTCAGGTTAGTCCACTCCAAAGCTTGTAAGTGTTTCTAGCACAGCAAAGAACAAAATTTCATATAGTAGGAATGTCAGGAATGTCTCCTACCAACCCAAGCAAAGTTTCCATCCCATGAGTATAGATACAACTGAGCCTTTGTTACGCTCCTCTCCAGAGGAAAAGCAGCGGAGAGATGACAACAGTGCCTGGGCACAAAGCCATAGCAACTTGAGAATGCTTCCATTTCTCTTGTCAGAAGTCCTGGCTGTGCTTTGTTTGTATAATTCAGGTTTCCATAGAGTATTTAGACTGAAAATCATAGTCTTTGTTCCTGTGGGTGGTGATGGCTCAAGCCCATGGCATAATAGTTCTCACCAGCGAAGGAGACAGTATTCCTGAGAGCCAGTTATGGGCTGTGGAATAGTCTCAGCAGGTTTGATGTTTGCTCACCTTCTCTTATGCTTTGTTGTGCATTCTGATATATATATATATATATTTATCTTTGCACACATAAAGTGATGCTGCCATCGATAAAATGATCTCCTTAAGTATGAGACTGCTGGGTATGACTTTTCCCTAGGTGGAGATGAAAGGGGTTGTCAGCAGATAAGAGGGAGAAAAGGCCCTCGTGACTAGTAAACTCTTAGGAGTCCCTGTAATACCAGTGTGGCATATTTGTATGTACCTGTGTTGAAAGCACATGGAAGGAGCTCACGTGTACCACTTTACAGTCTTGCCTTTCTTTCCCTGGGGATCTAAATCACCTCTGCATTCAGCACTATGGTGCATGTTGATCACATTGCTTAATGTGTAACTACAAAGCATTATTACAAAAATGCAATATAATACCAAGAATTAAATGGTGAAGTGTTTGGCTTTTGTAGTTGCTCTGTAACAGTGAATGAGTAACTTTGGTATTACTGACCTCTTAATTAATGACCCTATTGGGAAAATCAAAGTTTCTATTCTGTACTGAGCCTTTCTTCAGTATAGACTGTCCTCTTATTACTTTTCTATAACAGTGTACTTCTCAAGAAGTACTGGGATCTTAGCCACTACAAAAAAAAGTCAGTCTAAGATTTTTTTGTACTCTGGGATCTGTGACTTTCCAGTATTCCTTGCTTTTTGTTTCGATCGTTGGCTTGGTTCACACTTGGAAATTTACTGATACTACTTAGAAAATTTGAAACGTAACTGCCCAAGTGCAAAGCCTGTACCTGACAGGCATCAGTGCACCCAAAGCTGACAGGTCAGGCAAAACACACTCGGTTGTTCCTGTTAGTCTTCCACAGCACCTTATTGCACTATATGGATGGAATTACTATCTTTGTATATAGAATGCAAGTTTAAAAGCCAAGAGGTTTTTAAATGGCGTACTTACTAATATTTGATAAATGTGAATCATCATCTTGTGACAGGAATACATTGCTGGCAGGGAAGTAAAGCTAGTGATGGTTAATCCTTCTGGAAATCGAAATAGGTGCATTTATTAGTTCAACTTCAAGTACACTGATTTACGTGTGTCCTAATCCAGTAACTAAACCTTTTAGTTTAACTGTGCTCTGGCTGCAAAATGTCAGTATTTTTATGGATTAACACTTTTCTATGAACTTTTTTTCCTACTGTAATGTGAGACGCTGCACAAGACACTTCCGCCTATGTTTTAATACACTTAGGATGGTTATGGGAAATTTTTGATAGTGACGATGAAACTTGTTCAAACCATGGGCAACATTGATATTTGGGTTGCTCTTTAGTTCTTTAACATTCCTACTCTATTATAGAGAAACTATGTGTTTTAAAACTCACTGGAGAGCTAATAGAAGGATAAGAAATCTGGGGAAATGAAACTGTCTGCCCCCATGAAATTTGGGTTTATGAGAATATTAAATATATTTTCATGTATCTTAATCCAGTACTTGGGTTAAGCAAGGAAAATGTTATACAATAGTTACAGATGCAAAACCAGATGTGTA